CAAGTCAGAGACGTTTCTCTCTTCTCACATTCGATGCCATTCAAACTACGCTCGTCGTGATCAAGTTAGAGATGTTTCTCACTTTGCATGTTCGACACCATTCAACCCACACTTCACGTGATCGAGTAGAGAACTCTTGATTTGAGCCATGTTCGATGCCATGAAAGGCACGTTTGATGTGATGAGAATTTCCACACTTAATAAAAAATTATTTTGGTTCAATCCACCTTAAATCCAACAAATGACCCTCATGCAACATATAATACAACATCTAGGCATCATAAACAACTCGAAATCAACTCAATACACAACATGCAACTATTGTATTTCATGAATCATCAAATTCTTCCCAAGACACCTTCCAACACCAAAAACTCAAGCAACCATACATTCTTTCCGAATTATTCCATTTAAAACAACCAAAATTCTATGCACTCAATCAACATTCAAGGAACACAATAAAACAAGTTCATCAGTCACAAACTTTCGTTGTCTCAAATTGCTCTAAAGTAAGAAGTGGAGAGGGGGAAGAAGGAAGAACATCAAACTCCCAAGCTTCAAATCTGGCAACTATTACAATTGGCTAGCTAAAGAAAAGGATTAGAGGAAGTACAGGGAAGAAAGAACATCTTCAACTTCAAAACTTCTCTTTCTAATTCTCTCTAACTTTTCTTTAAACATAAAATTATGAGATTTACGTCTTAAAAAAAATCTTATATACTTTTCTTTAAATTACAAACTAACTTAACTCTGACTCAATTTCCTCAAAAATAGCTTAATTTTCAGGGTCTCATGACCCTTAGAACTATACAATAAGAGTAACAACAATAATTTAACAATTTAGCTATATAAATCACATATAAATAAATAAAACACCTAATATCAAAGAGTGTTCAATGTTTAAACTGTCTTTTGCTTAGATGGGCCCTATTTATATAATTATTTCAAAAACTTTTTATTATTTTTCTAATAAACATTCTAAAAGTACAAAATGAGGCAAGTCGGTCAATAGACTTATAAGTTTGTTCTCGTTAGAAATTACCCTCAAAACACTTGCATTCAGAAGTAACGAAGTGGTTTCCCAATGTGTGTGTGTGTGTTTTTTTTTTCTTCATAAATGATTGCATATACATCACATTCACATTGAGATGTCATATAATGCAGAATTAAAAGATTCGTAGATTTTAATTAGAAACTAGAAATTTAATTCTTTTTAGATAAACAATTACAATTTGCTTTTAGAATCATAGTTTATTAGTTTAAGTCTAATTTCAAATACAATACAATAGTAGTAATAATTTGAGTAGATTTTGGATTTTATATCTTTTATTTATTTATGCTTTATTTTATTTTATTTGTATAATTTTATACATTTTCCTTAATTTCATATTGAAACTAAAAGTAATTTATTTTTCTTGAATAAAAATTAAAAGGACCAATATATATATGAATCATGGAATTATTTGTAAATAAAGAAAAATGAATCCAGCTGGAAGGACAATCATAGATATGAACGTCCTCAAAATGTTGAAAATCTAAATCTATCGGCTTGATTAGTTTCTATGAAAATATGATAACATCTCATAATATAATTTTTTAGCCTCGGTTGAGGATTGTGAGCGGTATTTCCCTTCTAATATAATACAAAATCAGGATTAGAATTCTGAATATCGTGATTAAAAAATATAAATCATTATTATTTATATCGATGAATGTTAATATTAATCTTTAGTATTTATTATGCATGAATGTTTTATTTGATTATTTTTTTTCATAAGGAGAGAAGACCAGTGTACGGTGCGACCGCCAAAATAGAAAAAAGTGGCAGTGTATGAAAAATGTGAAACCCTTTGACGCCGTATGCACCCTGCTACCTCTTCCACACGCTGCCGTTTTTAATTTTCCCATTCTGAAACTTTTTTTTTTCTCTTTCATTTCATCACCTCCTTTTTATTCTCTCAATTTTGATGTAGTTGTTAAACTATATATTTAACCGTTCTTATGAATTTTTGTACATCATATATAGTCATAATTATATAAACAGAGGAGTAATAATTTGGTTAATTATCGGTGTACATGAATTACTGTAAATTTTCTTATACTAAAATTGATTTTTATCGATAAAGAAACATAATTACTACCCAATAAAAACTGATTACATAAAAAGTGGTAGGATATGTGTAAAGAAAAAGTTGTGGGGAAGCAGGAGCACTTCCAAGTTTTGACTATTGCAGATGCATACATAATATCTGATATTTTAAAAAGTATTAAATAAAAAATCTCAATTTTCATATTGTGGAAGTGGAAATCTACGCGGAAGCCTTTAGTTTGTTTGGTACGTTGTACTTTTGTATAATTCAAACAGTGTTCTTCGCTTTAAATCATTTGTCAACTTTTTTATAGAGTTCAATGAGATTGAGAAAGCCAAAGAATTATTTCTTTTACAGGGAATTGTGTTTGTTACTCTTATTTAATATACAGAAATCTCTTTTTAATTAAAATATTATTTAAGCATAAATTACTTTACTTCAAACTTATTCTCAATTAAAATATTGAAATAATTTTATAAAATCCAAATCATATGAACAATTATAGACACTACCTCATCAAGCTGTCAAACACATGGAACTCTCAAAAGAAATGTAGGGCGTGTATGAGTATTTTTTTTTTAAAACTACTAATAGGGAAAAAATAGAAAAATGAATTTTCATAAATTATAATTTACTTATGCATAAATTAACTTGTAATTTTTACAAAAATTTATTTTTAACACATGCAAAAGTTATTAACTTATAATTTGTTTTTGCAAGTGTTTCTAGAAAATAAATTCTCATTAATACTTATAGTACTTATCGTAGCTTTTAAAACAAATATACAGTGTCTCAAACTCATTTCTCCTTAATCCTAGTAGTTCATGTTACAAAAAGTGTTAGAAAAATTTAATCCTAGTAGTTCATATTCCGTTCTATTCTATATATGTTTTCAAACAAGTATAATTTTGCTTAATCAAACAGTGTAAATGCTTACTCATTGATTGGTTTTCTAAATTAAAAAAGCACTTTATAATTGTTTGTTTAGAAAGGCATGAAAAAAAATACACCATTATTCTTCTAACATGGACACGACCTAATATGGACCAATTCCTCATCCTCCGCAGTAGTGGGTATTGATTTGTTGGTTGGTAGCTAAAGCAAATACTAATACTCGTTTTTTTTTATTAAAGATATCCCAATGGATATTCAGAAAGTAATTTCTTTTAAAGCAAATTAATTTTATATATTTTTTAATTATTAAAAATATCATCACTAAAATGAGTTTAAAGCAATTAAGTACTAATTAATAATTGTAAGGATGGAAAACTGAGTCTGAGTGTGTTTGGTTGTATTATTAGCTTAGTTCCGCTTGCGTTTCTTGACTTGTGTGTATTTTCCAACTTGCATGTGAGTGCCATGTCCAAGTTTGCTGACTGACTCAGAAATGGAGCAGCCACAATAGTTGAATTGGAATCAATTAATTAATCATAAACACACATTCTCCAACTTGACCCCACCCAAACTTGCGGAAGGAGGATAGTATTATGCTGTAACAATAATATAAATAAAACAATTAATATATTTGAAGAATCTCTTAGGGTTGACTAAGCAATTTCGTTACACTTCACAAATATGTTTGCCAATTCAATCTGCTTAATTAGATCCCATAAATTACTCAATCATCGCTGCTAAATTAAGTTCCACTCACATGGTAACCATCTACACCTTATAACAAGTCTTCTCTGTAGCCCCGTTAATGTAAATACAATGTATTTAGATACTTAAATTGCAAGTCTGGTGATTATATTCCCTTTTGGAACTATTTTAAATTTCTAGTTCTTAAAACAATTTCTCTAATAGTTAATTTAACGTGACTGTGCATAATTCATTTTATCTTATTGAATTATAATAAATAATAGAAAAATACTAACTAGTGTTTGATGCTGGATAAAAAATTAGAAGTCAAAAATTTATATTAAAAAATGCATTTACACATTCTTTTATATAACTTTATTATAGTTTTCAATAAAAAAATTATTTATCAATTCTTTAACTAATATCTTAAGAGTACTGATTAGCGAACTCTAATTAATAAATCGATAGATTTACATGTCTTAAATGTAGTGTATCATAAAGTGAGTCTTAAATTCTAAAAATTAATATTATAAGTTGTAACATCTATAGTTCAGACATTTTAATTTTGAGAATATAAATATGTGATGTTTGTTTTTAAATTGTATACTTTAACATAATGGATATTTTGATTCATTAACATAATGAATTGATGCTTGAGAACAATGATTTCCAAGTTTTCTATTAATATTTGCGTGGAAAAAATGTATATTAATTAAACTCTGTAAGACTTCCTTAAAAAAGAAAAAGGGGGAAGAAAACAAACTTGAAGTCATGCTTGCGATAAAATTGCATAATGCTGAAATTTGAATATAGAATGAAGTATAGATTATTATATTGTATACCTATACCACTACCGTACCGTATGACTATGTCATGATGACTCGTGAGAGATGGCGGAATCCATTAGAGTCAATCCCTTTGGTGGAACAGACGACATTCCAAAGCAAAAGAGCCAAAAGAGATGAAAGGGGTTGCTCCACACGGTACACATGTCACCTGTTTGGTTAAACCGGCCAACAATTTTCTCACCCTTCACTATTCAACCATCTAAATCATGTTTACAAAACATAAAAAACAAATGTGTGTGAAGTTTAGATTTGCACAAAGAGACATGTGTGAAAAGGGTGGTCGTTTCACATAGGTTGAAAAGCTTATCGAATTCCCACTGTTTGTACAACAAATCAAATCGCTTGTAGATGGCACACGTTATGGAAGCTTCCTCTTAAGGTGCGGGTGAAAGTGGACCCAGGGTTGAGACATAACAGGCCGATTATATTTTGATACCTAATTAATTGAGATTTTAACTTGAACCATTTTTACCTGAGACACGGAATATCATACCGCTACATTAATTCATACTATACATGAATTAGAGCATCTAGATTTTGCGGTGTTTATTTTAAGATTGAACCCGTCTTTGCTGTTTAAGTTTTTTTGTTTTTCTTCCCTCAGACTTTTAGTCATCGGTGGACATCAACTACTCAACTACCTAAACCCAACCACTCCTATAATAACCCCCCTTTCTCCATCTTTCTCCCTCACAACGTGCTCCAGTTCATTTAACCTGAGAGGGTTTGTTTTGCTACAAGCAGAAAGGAGAGAAACAAGAACAAAATAATCAACTCAGATCTCATATTGGCAAGTACCCTTTTGAGGATCAAGGAGTGAAGAGTTGTTTATTATTATTGTAGCAAGATGGTTGGAAAATTAACGGTGGTGAGGCTTGTGTTGGCCATGTTTGTGTTGAGCTCTCTCCTTGCGACATCATGGGCACAGACGACATGTGCGAGCCATACCTTCACTAACAACAAGGTTTTCGCGACATGCCGTGATCTACCTCACTTAACCTCGTACCTGCACTGGACCTACGAAGAGAGCACAGGGAAGTTGGACTTGGCATTCAGACACACAGGAATCAGTGCAACAGACAGGTGGGTTTCATGGGCTATCAATCCCAGCGGTAGCCTTAGTTCAACCATGGTTGGAGCGCAGGCTCTGGTGGCTGTCTCGCAATCCGGTGGTACCCCAACGGTGTATACTTCTTCCATCTCCAGCTACGGGACCCAGTTGGCAGAGGGATCCATCTCTTATAATCACACTGCTTTATCAGCAACTCGTCAGAATAGTGAGATCACCATCTATGCTACCCTCACTCTTCCCAGCGGTACCACCACCTTGGTCCACCTTTGGCAAGATGGTCCTCTCTCTGGTTCTACCCCATCAATGCATGCTCAAGATTCTTCTAACCTCCAAGCCAAGGAAAGCCTCGATCTTGTTTCTGGTTCCAGTCAAGCTGGATCAAGTGGGGGTTCACTCAGAAGAAGAAGAAATGTAAGTACATGTTCTACTTCTAGTTAGTTCCCTTTACATCAAAATTGATATCAATTGGAATTGTATTATTTCAGCTTAATCGGTAGTCTCCAGTTGTTTCAGCTTAACTAGTATTCTGAAGTCATGTTTACGTGGTTTCATAAAAAAGAATTATTCAACCATGGTTCGTGAAGGGGATGTTGGATTTGCTTTTTATTTTTTTGGGAAATTGATTAAAGAATGTTAATTTGTTCAGGTGCATGGAGTGCTAAATGCGCTGAGTTGGGGAACTTTGATGCCTCTTGGTGCCATAATAGCAAGGTATTTGAAGGTGTTCAAATCTGCAGACCCTGCTTGGTTTTACCTTCATGTTACCTGCCAAACCTCTGCCTACATAATTGGTGTTGCTGGGTGGGGAACTGGTCTCAAACTCGGTAGTGACTCAGTTGGTATCAAGTATAATACCCATAGGACACTCGGGATCGTCCTCTTCTGCCTTGGAACCCTTCAGGTATGACATGTTCTTGATTTGTTTCTGTTGTGCCTCTTTCGAATGTTATGGGACTCACAGAAACTACCTCTTTCTTTGGATACAGGTTTTTGCTCTGCTTTTGAGGCCAAACAAGGATAACAAATACAGATTCTACTGGAACATTTACCACTACGCAATTGGATATGCCACCATAATCATCAGTATCGTTAACATCTTTAAAGGATTCGACGCATTGGAGAACTCCGTAGGGGATCGTTACAATGACTGGAAGCATGCTTACATTGGCATTATTGCAGCTTTGGGTGGCATTGCTGTGCTTTTGGAGGCCTACACATGGATCATTGTATTGAAGAGGAGGAACACAGAGAGAAAGACGGCACATGGAACAAATGGGATTAATGGGTATGGTTCTAGGCCACAGCAGGTGGTGTAGGGTAAGTGGACCGATAGATACTGGATTTTTGGCTTCTGGATCCTATCTATGAGTTTTGTTGTTTAACACTTGTGTCTGTATGTATATTTGTTTACATATATCGAGTGTCTTTAGGACACTCCCAGTAGCTTAGAGTCTGGTTTTGATATCAAATTCTTTCATAGGATAGTGAGCACCGGGGCGTGGTTTTTTCCATGCTATGCCAGAGGATACTTTGTACCGGTTTCTTCATATTTGTATTTATTATTTCCTTTTATCATACACTTTCTCCATACCATACCTTCCTGTTTCAAATATCTTTATTGTGTTATCTCCTGGGGTTAGATGAAGGCATTTAATTTTTCTTTCTTCCTTTTGGATCGGGGCAACAGCCGAGCGGATTTTAATGTGTGTACAATTTGGTAAAGTTTTCTCTCTGCATCTTGGACATCAACAGTGGAGCTGTGAATAATAAATAGCATAAAGGTTAAAGAGTACAGCCTGTACATGACACGTTTTGGTGAACATTGACCCAACCTCTATTGGCTTAGGCTTTGGAATTCGAATTTATATGCCGAAGGATGGATGCATTATGCTCTCTCTTTTGTCATATTCCTTCTATAGTTCTATTTGCGTCCGCTCTCTTCAGACTTGGCTTTACAATATTCTACATCAAACATTTTTCTATATTAAATAATGCAACCGTGTCCCCTTTTTTCTGAGAGTTTGAAAACGGAACCCACGGGCAAGTGCGCACGCCATCTCATTTTTATGAGCAACGACTTGCTACTTGCAATTGTTCTCGTATTTCTGCCAAACTTTTTTAAGACCGTGACAAGAGACTAAGGCACTAGGCACTAGCCGTATGATAATAAATTAGTAAGAGTCGCAAGAAAATGTCAAGAATATGGAAGTTTTCGAGAAGCCTCGCATACCCCATGTGAATGGAATTAATTTAAAGCAAGTTGCCTTGTGAACACGTGAGACATTCAATCAGAATTAGAGTGTAATATGCTCAAAGAATCACATTATTTGCATCAATTTCTTTTTTCTTTCACATAATTAGAGTAGCGCTATTTTCACCTTTTCTTTCTACGACGAGAAAAGAGAAAGAAACAAAAGAGAGAGAAATGTGAAATAAAATAAGTAATAATGCGAAGAGGAGAGAGAGAAAACGAATTACTACAAAAGGATTATGAAATTTTAGTGAAAATAACATTATTTATGTTGTTATTAGATTTTTTTGTTAGCCTTGCTAAATTACTTAAAAACCAACCATTTATTTAATGGGACCATTCACTATCCCCAATTATAACCGATGTTGAAAAAAAAAGTGTTTATTTAGAAGAAAAAAAGTGTTAACATTCTCAATATACTAAAATTTTGGCGATGGAATATAAAAGGAATTCACTTCTTTTGGAAGGATTTAAAATGATTTATTATTGTACAAAATGGGATTTATGACTGATACATTTGATTCACATAAGAATTTAAAAATTCTGAAACACTTTTATCAGGCAATTTTCACCGAAAATTGAGAATCTTTAACAATTATTGGAGCAAAGGGTAAATGAAGTAACGAAGATGGCTTATATTGACAAGTTCTTGCCATTATAGTAAATTTCTCACACCATTTGCCGCAGAGCATCAACAAGTGCATCCTTTAAGAAAGGGTTTGAAGCTGCTACTCGCTGAGATGTTATGTCAAAATCTGCACCAGACCTGAAGCAAGCGAAACATCAGACGTTGACGTAAGTATGAAATTTTTCCAACATATCGGAGCAACATTGTGTTTATAGCTTTCTATAGTAAGTCCTATCAACGGTGCATAAAGTATGTCACAATGCATGTCCATCCAACAACGTCTAAATAACTGTCCACAAGATGAAGATGCATGCGAAGAGCTGAATGGACTAGGTACCTAATTATGCAGAGACTATCTAGAACTTACTTATTCCCTTCGTGAAGAATAAGGATATCTAAGCAAAGTTACTTACGGATCAAATACAACACCTCCAGCTTCTCTAACAATGACAGCACCACCTGCCACATCCCTGGAACAAGAAAGAGACCATGTGAATCACATTATCACAATGCCCAACATTGAAGTAGTCGGAGATATACATACCAAGGACCACCAAAGCCAAGTTCAAAGAATACATCCAGCCTTCCACATGCAATTCCACAAAGATTCAGAGCGCAGGAGCCACTCATTCGAAGAGATCTCACCTGACACAGAAAATGTGGGGTTACGGTAGAATCAGTCATATCACATTAGTCCCATAGATTCCATGGAAAGTCCTGGCGTTACCTTGAAAAGCAAGCTGTTAATCCTATTGGTAGAGGCATCTACTGTTTCTTTGTCACGTTTTGTTCCAGCCTGTTCTTTCAGAAGGAAAAAAACTTGATGAATATCAAATTTGTCTTGATTCAAAAGGCAAAATATTTAAAAGTAAATCCGACCAATAATCTTAGTATTCCAAGTCAAGTTAGTATAACATAACCTTACTAACAAAAAAGACCAGATTTGTAATAATTAAGCGCAATAATCCTTATACAGGTAAAGATCACATGCCCACTCAGTAGGATACACCATAAAGCAGACATAGTAATCACAAGTTACAATCAGCTAAACGATCACATTGATATTTTGGCATGTTAGCAATTTCCTAAGATTAAAATATACTCAGAAAACACAAATTTCACTTCCAAAATTAAATTCTTTCTTATTTTCTTCAATGATTTGATTATTACCTGAATAAAATGAAATGTTTAGACTTTGTTGCTTTCAAGATTGCAAATAACACTAATCTGATTAGTAATGCTCTGATCTAACTTGCCTGCCCGAACATGTTTTCAAATCATTTATAAAAAAAAACTAAATGTGGTGAAGTACATAAGTTACAGATATACACAAATAACTTGATACATAATTTTTTTTAGTATAATATTTTTTGTGGAAATAGAGACTTCAAAGTGGTTCCTAGCCCACTAGCAGTATTAGAAATAAAGGGGAAAAATAAAAAAGGTATAATAAGATAATGAATGCAATGATAATACTTGAGGGGAAAGTGACTATTATGATTTAAATGGGTTCAAAAGTAATGGCCGTGATGTAAGATTACGCACAGTGTCATAATAAAAAAAATTACACACTAGAAACTGAGATTTAAGATGCTATACAACTGTTATCTAGAAAGTTAATTTGACGCACATTGTGTTGAACAAGACTGTCTGGTTATGATAGGGATCTTCTACTTAACAGAAAGTCATGCCATATAAAGTTGAATTGGGTGTTACACCAAATATAGGAGATAAGCAAGGTTTATTACTTTTCAAGGGGTTTATATGTTGCCACTTTGATTAACTGAAAGAAACATTCTCACTTAGAAGTCCATTCCACACATTGATATTTTTCAGCAAACTGTATTTCTCAGTTCCATGCGTGTCATCAACACAAGTGCACACTAAGGAGAGGGAGGGGAATACAGTTCATTGATTAAAAAAAATGAGTAGATTTCCCAAAGTCAAGTCAACTATAGCAGGCTCGACATACCTCAGTTGCAAGAAGAGAGCTGATTAGTTCAGTTTGTGACGATACTGTGAAATTTTAAGGCATAAGCATAACATTTAAATTAACAACAAACAATGAAAAGATAAAGAACAGATGACACACCTTTTATAGGATTCCCATTCAAAAAGGCACCTTTTCCACGGATTCCAGTGAAAAGCTACATAAAGCAATCCCAACTTGTAATTTGTAAACTAAGCTAGAGAAGAAAATTAATTAAAAATACTACAGTGTCATACCAATGTCTAATTTAAACATAAATTAACCAGTGTATTTCCTAATTAAATTACTTCAGCATCTAGTCTCCAACAAATCTTTTTGAATGCATCATAGCTACAAAGAAGAACGATGATAAAAGAAGACATAAGAACAATTGATTAAGGTTTGCCTATCATATTCAACCTTGTCCTATTTCTACATTGGGCCATTATCCCAGAACCCTAAACAAAATAATAATACATACAAAATTATGTTTTAACAATGAATAAAATTTTGCATGTTTCTAACTTAAGAAAATTCTAATTGTTTTGTGGTCAACCACTTATAAAACATCCACAAGAGGGAATATTTCTCACCTCATTAATTATTGGATTGTACACAACACCAACTGTAGGAGTTTTTCCAATTGTAAGACCAATGGAGACACAAACAAAGGGGAACCTACAAATAATAGAATTTAGTCAATCAATATGGAAATGAGAGTCTCACTATTCTACTATCAACTTAAACACTAGAATTGATTATTACCCATGCACAAAGTTAGTAGTTCCATCCAGGGGATCAACTATCCATGTGGGTTCATCTGTAAGTTCCGTAGAGCCACAGGCAGCTGTGGTTTCTTCTCCAATGAACTAGGAACACCAAATTAAATGAACTTAAGGAAATATATACTGGCAAAATAGAAAGAATATCCACCCATCTTAAACTTGACTAAGGAGAACATGTAAAGTTGCTCAGTTTGAGGGAAATATGAATAAACCTTATGAGTGGGATAAAGCTCTTTGAGATGATTAAATATGAGTTCCTCACATGCTTTATCAGTTTCTGTGACCAAATCAACCTGTCCATCAAGCAAAAAAGGTAAAAGACAGTCAGTAAAAGAGATATAATTTTATCACTTTAATGCCATGATAATGCTATATTTTACATTACATTACTATCTGAACTTCTTTTCAAGAACATAGAACAAGTACCCCAAACTTATCACTTATTTTTCTCCAATATAAGTCAGGTCATATTCCACACCTTTTTGAGCTTGTAGAGCCTTGCTTATACATTGATATGCATAAGAAATTAATTATTTACAAAGTGTATATTTAACTTAGATTATTTGTCGTGAGACCTTTCAAATCAAAAGAAAAAGAATCCTGAAAATTAAATAAAATCAAAGGTTAAACTTTGGTCTCTGTTTGTGATGTTAAATAATTCCTACATAAAAATATATAAAAAAAATAAAAAATAAAAAGTAGTTTTCAAATCAGTCCATATACATGAAATCATTTTCACTTCACTAATTGCCATCTACAACTGCGATAACTCCATCTAATTACTCATCCTTCTCAGTTAATAACAGATTATGACAAGATGTCAACAAGTATGACTAGATGGTTTAATATTTTGGTCCCTACACTTGACACTATTTTTCAAGTTGTCACTGTTCACTAAAAAATTGAATTCCAACTAATCACTATATGTGAAATGATTCACTCTTTGCTTGTGATAATCTAAATGAAAAGTTATATAGCTTTCTACCCAGCTTGACAGTAGGAAAGTAGAATGCAGAATGGAAAAGCAAAATGCTAAATGAAAAACTAATATATAATCATAAATGCGGTTGAAGAGGCAGCCATTAGGTTGACATTCATAAATTACTAGCCTCACCCTCGGCATGAAAATAAGCTTTGAGCTTGTTGCAAATAAAACCATTAAATATAATTTGGGCTTTCACCAAATACGGTTGGAATGATCATAGTCTTGGAGAGCAGGTTGAAATGTTGCTTGATCAATGAAGGAATTTATCAGCTTGTGATTCATTGTTGAGATAAGAGAAATCGTTAAGTATGATGAACAAAGGGAGATTGGTATGAATCATAACCAACAGGTGACTACATGACTCATCAAGGGAAATAAATCATCAGAATGATTGTCAGTGGAAAAAGAACCTGACTAAAATTGAATGATTTGGTATGGACTATGGAGACGAGATGAAAGCAGTTGGAACTGAATACTGATAAGGTAAGGACATCTGGAACTAGAGACAAAAATTGGGCCAGACTACTTCTGGGACAAACACCAGCACGGCCAGACTGCATCTGGGTCTGAGATCAGGACCAAATTGCATTTGGGATAATAATTGAGGGCCCATGGGTTATGTAACAAACTATTTTGCTTATGATGATGATAGCTCAGCATTTTTAGTTGCATGAACACTCCCCTCACCCACTACTCCCCCAATTTCCTCCTTTGACATTTTGTCTACCCCACTATTTCTACAAATTCCTCTTCTCCCTGATTGTCCCTAAATTTTTCCTTCCATTTTCAACCAAATCTCCTTGCACCCCATTCATAATCAAGACTAAAGGTGAGTTCCCACTCTTAATTCTTGCTGTCCTTGTCTTAAATCTGATAACCTCTCAAGCATGATTTTCAAATAGAGATTCACATTGTGAATCGAAAGACTTATTTTACAAATCATGAATCTTATGGTTCATGATCAATAACTACAAACATTATACATGGCTATCAAAGTCATAAAAAAAAACATAAAAACAGATCAAAGAGAATTTTGATATAAAACATTGAAAACCTCTGTATGTTGGCATTTTAAAGTCAAATAATTCGCTACACATCTAAAAAAAGTGAAATATAAACTTCAACATTAATCATAATACAACTCATAACAGTTAAAATAGAATAAGACTATGTAAGGGGACACTTCCACAGTGGATTGACCTGATAACAACCTCTTTTCTTTGTGGCTTCACATAATAACAAACAACCTCTTTCTTTTTATTTATGCGACTCATTTTTCACCCTTTTGGCACACACAGACAGAGCACACATCAAAAAGCACATGCACAGGGCACAACAACAAAATAGAGAGATAAAAGCAGCAACAAAACACAGAGTACGAGATAGGGAGACCACTGGGACCAGCAGGACCTTGGACAATGAATACAAGCAGAAATAAAATACTAGGAAACACAATATATGAAGCATGAGTAGTGTCGGGGTGGAAGCATTAATTGAATTGATTATGAATTGATGCCCGGTGAAGCATGGCCCCTAGTTTGAGTTTATTACTGGGTGAATACACCTTGGAACTGTGATATGAATAATATGTCTAGTTTAGTTGAGTACTTCTTGGCTAGAGCTTATTTGGTCTTCATGTGCGTTTGATAATTACATAACTAATTCATTAACAAAATTGCTAAGAGTACAAAATGAAACAATGTCCACAATAATCAACCATATATAAGAATTGTCTGATTTTTTGTCTCTTTAAAGCTCGTACTACCTCATTCATAATCTCAAACATGAGACAATCTTAAAGTTTGTACAGTGCTCAGTAGTTGAGGTACAGAGGATGAAAAAGGAGATAAAAGAGACTGAATAATCTGAGATTAATTTTAACTTCATATGATGTGATATATTACAATGTGATGGTAAAACATAAACCAACCATTATTTATACTAATATTATATCATAATTCTAACTAAACAAGGAAACAAATCGTGAAACATAAAGAAAATAAAAAACTAACAAAATGCATCCTAAGAAATTTATAAGATACTCTAAAATATTACAAGATAAAGAGCAGGTGTAAACTAAAAATAAATATTATTTTCGATAGAAAAACTCTTAAAAAATGCTTTTATGCAAACAGCCTCGTTGTCAAAATACTATTAGATTGTTGTGGAGGCTTATTTATGACTCGGAACCAGTGAAGGAGAGAGAGGATGCCCAAGCACCGCCGTGGCTTGTGTGCATTTTATTGTTTATCCCGAATGTAAATCTTAGAGAGATAACAAATTCACATATAAAACCGATTTGAGAACTTCTTTCGTCACCCAAAGTTCAATTTAACACAACTACTCAAACACAAGCTGACACCACACCATAAAACGAAGCGAGAAAGGAGAGAATGCGAGCGAGCGAGCGAGCAAACCTGTCCTTTGTGTTCCACGTTTTTAGTCTGGTAGAATCCTTTTCGAATAATCTGGAAATCACGCGACGAACACAAGAGACGCATACTGAGAATCGTAAGAATCAACGGAGAGGCTTAAAGCGAAAACGAACTAACCTCGCCAGCTTTGTGAGCCGCGTCGACCGCAGATGCGAGGAATTCCGAGAGCGAATCTGCAGTTGAATTTCGGTCAGTGAAGTTAGCATGAACCGAAAAACTAAGTGCAAGATCCGACATCAGAAACTGAAACGAGAGAAAGATGTTGAATGGTAACAATTACCATAGCCAGTGTCAACCATTTTGTTCTTGTTTGTGCGAAAGAGAGAAGTAGAAGGAAGGAGAAGGTACTGAAAAGTGATGATGCAGTAGAGGCTGTGCTTTCTTCTTGAGCTTTCCTTTTCACTCACCAGTGATCACTACACAAGCACATCAACCCGCATCTGCCATCTCTATCTATATATACTTACATTTTTGTAAATAACTAAATTCATTATTAAATAATTATTATATATTTAGTATATAGTATTATATATAAATTGACTCTAAAATTGAAAAGAAATATAACGATATTATTTTTAATATAAGTTATGATTAAGTTCAAATAATTTATTTAAAGAATATTTTGAAATAAACGCAAATTGGTGTATTGACTTTATATCTTTTTTTAGTAAACTCTCTCTAACACAAAAGTGTTTATATTACAACTCGTAATAAACTATAAATAAGTTCTCCCAACCATATTCATGCCATACTCTCCTAATCTCTTTTAGAAGTTTTTTTGATTAATTTTTTAAATATAATTTTTATTTTGGACATTTTATTATTTTTTATGCTATTACTTTTATAAATTTTGAAAATAATTATAATTTTCATTTACTGACGGTGTGATATACATTTAAAATTTAAATATGCCATGTAAAAAAATGTTACGTGACGTTTTCTCAAAGACCGTTACTAATTATGAACCGTTAATAATTAGAGGTGCTCTAAGATCAAAATCAACAATTTTTTTAAGAATTAAAACAAAATTTTGTCAATATTTATATAATGAATAAAAACATTTAAAATTTTAAATCGTTAATTTATAAATAAAACTTTATTTCAAAAGGTTATGTAAGGAAAATTTTTACTTTTTAAGTTACCAATACTAAAAAGTGTTGCTTTTATTTTATTTTATACATTTTAATTACTTTTTTCATTTTACTATCATTCTGATTAATAAATACACGAGTTATCATAATATGTTGGAATGAGCAGAAAGGGTGTGACTATTTTTAAAATGTGGCCTTGTATCTAATCCCAAAATCTATGTATATGGGAAAAAAAGGTTTTTGAGAGTTTCAAAATTTTAATTCCTAACCCTGTCTATAGAAACTAATCTCTCACCTACCAAGCAAGAATATAATTTTTTTGAATACACCGTAAAAAAAACTCATTCTCTTTAAGATTGAACTTTTATAAATTATATATAAAAAGGTTTTAAATTATCATTTAGACATTCTTTGCATCGTCATTAAATGAATTTATCTATAATAATAATAATTACAGAAAGTGTTGAACTTTTTAATAAGATGTCAATGCTGAAATAGACACATAAAGTAGACAATACATAAAAATGCAACTAAAGTAACTATCTGATAAAGAACAAGAGCTTAAGAGTTGAGTGATATTTCCAGTGTCATTAATTCAAGCATATTCAATACAACATGGAGACCTCAAAACAATTATTGAAAGAAAACTGTATTCTTTTAGTGAAAGTTCTAAAAATAATTCATACAAAATCAATTAATGAATTAAATCAAATCAAATTTGATATTCAAGTAATTCTAAAGACAGCATAATGAATTGATCATTTCAGAATCTAAGTTTCTAGTTAAATTAGCAGTAGTGAATGCCATATGGAATATGCCAAAGATTATTCCGATGCGTTGTTTGGGTTCTGCGCCATGCACTTTTCCAAATTCTAGGTCGCCTCGTCATGTCCACATGGGTACCAAACATATAACTGCTGAGAAAGGGGGTATGATTATCACATTGGGCCCCCCTTATCACATGCTCCTCTTTTATTGGTTCGTAAAGCCTCCTCTCAAGTCTCAACCACAAATAAAGAGGCCCCACTCTGTATATTGTTGCAAAATAGGTAGTAATAAAACATCATGTCTACTTGATTGGATTGTGGGCCTGAAGAGTGGAGGTTGAACTGCTCCCTGTTCATCCTTCCAAAAAAATAATGAAATCATGATTCATATATTCCATTTCCCTCCCTACACCATAACATTACCAAAACTATTTTCACAAAATACTTATATCCCAATCAAAATCCCACGGGCACCCACCAGTCACCACTGGTATGTTGACCCCTTATGCCTTTCTGCGTATCTTACATGACTTCAGAAGGAAACACTATTTTATTCACCAGCACAACAGCTTCACCTCATCACTGTTGATGAGCTTAAACAAAAAATACTTGTCGAACCTAAGTCATTAAATAAACTTAAACACTTGCACAAATAAAATAAGAAAATAAAATAAATTAAACTTCTTCAATAAATTAAAAATAAAATTATACAACTCAGCAGTTGAATTCATTTCCCCTTATTTTTATTTTTATCTTACAAGTGTTTACAGAAAATTTTATCCAAAGAGGACTCGAGACATTCAGCAGCTAGTTATAAGAAACAAAAGCAGCATATAAGTAGAAGAGCAGTCAAACAAATTTGTGACTGTCAGATTATTGCATGACCTCGCACAACTAATAATTTACACGGCAACTTGGAAGACCTTTATTACTAACACCTACAAAGCCATAAAGCGCACGTAGCTCATTTAAGCAATTTATTTATCTACAATTTTAGAGGGTGGATATAAAATTACAGAAAGGAAGCATCCAAGTCTGAATGAAATGATAGTCTCATCTTGATGAAGACTAACAGAACTACTACAATACACAATTCGCTAAAGTGAGATACCACATTGTAACATGACACTTGACAATTTGCAGTTCACGTGTGTTGTTCCCTTGGTTAAAGGGCTTCGATTTCCTTCATCACTTGAGCTTTGTCGGCCTCAAATTGTTCATCCTCTGCACAATCACAACAAATATGTGATCATGGGAACCTGATAATTAATACTATAAAAGCAACGAAACTCTAAAGAAATGGCATCACTTACCTTTATCAATTTTGAAGTCTTCCAATAATCTCAGAATCTTACTTTTATTCGCAACAAGTATACCAACAATGTCCGCTGGTTTACGTTGGTTAGCAGCAAATAGCTGTTATGACAAGCAAATATCAATAATGTGAATAAACGCGTGATTAAGAACAGTCACTTCCAAATGTGTACTATAATATTATTATAGTACCTTGAAAACATGAAATGCTTCGATTTGTATGCTCTTGCTTGACTCCTGTAGAATAAATCAACAGCGACCCATTAAACGCAACTATAAATACATATCCAAGTTCTTAATTTTTTTCTCCATTAGATATACTATCATCAGAAACTCAATTTGGACACGTGTTCAGTATTCTAATCTTGATGCTTAGGCAAACTGCAGCAAAAGCAACAGGGTGAAGGGCTATATATTTTGATGGAAATAATGCCCTTTTACTTGCTAAAAACAGCAAATGAATAGAAGAATGGAATAAATATGGTGGATAAACAAGGGTTACTGGTAGTGAGGCAGCGCACAAAAGGACAAGGCAAGTAGATAAGTAATAAGACGTGTCATTTAAGTTTTATGTAAAGGACATACTCTAAGAAGATTCATTAAAATCCTTAAGTTGTCTCTTGAGCTCACATATTGTGTCATTACTGCTGAATTTGAACGATCAAGTAATATATCTCCCAACAACTGTGAAAGAGAAAGAAATCAACTAGCAATATAAGCGTCAATTCAACATGAAACTGACATTAATTAAAAAGCAGACAGTAAAGACCAAAAAATCCTAAATTCTCGAGGGGGATAGGGGGACAAAGGAAATCCAGCAGCAATGTAACTTTGACAAGCTGTGATATTTTTTATTTTAATTTATCAGGAACATTAATAGGCCAAAAGAATCACAAATGTGTATACACAATCAAGCGAAGATTTATCAAACCCAAATTTAAGTCTTCAACAGGGAAAATTTCTAATGCCCTAACATCAGCAGTTTGCTTCATTCAATGTTCTTACAAATTAGCAACTTACAGTTGAGACCAAAGTTAAATTTATATGGATAGGCAAAAAGAAATTATATAAAACCTTGACAGCTTGGCGCCTTGTAATATAATTGGAAGATTCCAACAGCTTAGTGTTATATTCTGCAAAAAACTGAAAGCAGCAACCACAAAGGGAGTAGTAGTTGATAAGTAATCAACAAATAATTAATTAAATAAACCAGATACAAATAATACTTATAAATATAAACTGACAGGTAGATGATTATATGTATGCAGCAGAAAGTTTTCAAACAAATCTTCAAAAAGCAGTATTTAAGAAACAAAAACCCCTAAATATCGTGAATGAACATGCATGAGTGGTTATTGGTTAATAAACACAAAAACAGAAATGGCTCTTTGATAGAAAATATGTTCATCCACCATGCATGAAGAATCATTTTCTAGAAGTGCATATTTTTATCTGAACAGAAATCAATGTTTAGAAGCAAAGTCAGATTATAATTTATACCAAAAGCATTACCCATTGAAACTCTACAAAACTAAAATCAAAGTCATGCCCATATTGGAACCAAATTATAAACTCTTATTTGAGAGCCTTTATCAATCAAATATACCACCCCATGCATATAATTTAGCAATATAATGTTACGAAAAGAAAAAGGCTGTATACAAGTGTATATATTAAAATAAAAAATGCTACTTTATACTTAGGTTGAAGAGGAACCTACCCATTCATAATTCTTGGAAAGGAATTCAGCTACAGTAGATTTATGCCTTGTCAAGAGCTCCTGGAACGTGACAAGACTGTATAGAATTAACTCTATTGGAAAAATGTGCATGGCACAAAAGAAGGAAATGGTGATCATAAGTTCTTTTTTCATGAAACCCACCTTAAAGGTTGCTGCAGCATCTGCAGCAATGTCAAAATTTGGGAGTTGAATATAGTCAAAGAACTTCTTCATACGAGGTGAGTTCAGAACATATCTGATATAAAACCATGAAGTGTTATAGAAACACAGTATTTATGATAGGGGAAAAAGTTATAAGACAGATCAATTTCCCTTTTCTAATTCCAGTGCTCAGTTCTTTATATGAGCTTCCTACACAGCAACTTTCTCATTTGGCATGAATCTCTAAGAAGTGCAGTTATATGAAAGTATAAAAAACAAAAGTACCAGCATATAACTAGAAAATGCAATACTTTTCCAACATAGATTACAACCCTAAAAATTTCTACCAGTCATCAATCATTAATAGCTTTGAGCTTGATAGCACACACAACACAAAAGGAATTAAACACACATTCTTTTTCCTTACTTTGCAACAATCTGGTGTCTTATGCACTCCCTCAGCATTGCACCATAGTGTAAAGCCATATCTGTGTTTTCATAGCTGAAAGGAAACGATTGCTAGTCAATTGCATACAAAAATTGATTCAAGGGAAAGCAGAATTTAGTGTAAACCACGGTGAGAAACATAAGAAACAAGATAGGCATCACAAGATGTGAACAAGACCTACATGTGACAAAACTAAATTTAAAAATCACAATCAGGGTCATGACGTTATCATGTCTAATTCATTTATTCTTAAAATTCCAACTTTGGTAAGAAAATGATTTCCATTCATTTGATCAAGCAGAAGAGTCCACCACACTCATTGCAAAACTTACTATAGCCAGAATAAAGAAACCAAAAATGCCATCCAATGTTTTCTTACCCAACTATCAAAATATCCATAAGATCCAAATTTTTCTCCAGGTAATCAGATGCAATCAACTTAAACTGAACCTGTTGCCTTTGTAAATTGGCAACAACTTGAGTGGCATCTTTTCTGGCCTGCAAAAGCCCATAGACTCCAGGTTAGCAAACAGTAAACAATCAAAGTACAGCATCAGGATAAAATTGTAATTCCAACCATCACCCAGATTCTTAATAAGTATACCTATCCTACAAAGGGTATCTAACAGCATCAAACAAGTAAACAAACAGCACATTTATTGACTGCAAATATCAGGAGGCCTCACAAAAAATTCATCACTACCTCCAAATTCAATTTCGGAAGACATTTGATAATCAGTCGCAACGTGTTCTCTTTAAAAAACTCCTGAGTCAACTGCGCACAAGCGTCCGACACTGGTTCAGATTCACTATTTCCATACAGGATACACTTTAGCTCCCTGATGTTTTTATATAGCTCGGCCATCTGCTGTTAGATGGATCACACAAACATCATAAGCATCAAATAAGGGTGTTTGCCAGCGGCACAAGAAGCCAAGATCCAACAAAAAATAACCAAACAGAATAATTCCAGCAGTTCCGTTTCAGCTCAGACAAATCATACCACTGCTCGTATAATATAATGCCTTACACAATGGCATGCAAAGCTCAATTACATTTACCACTAAGTCCCACCTTTCAAAACCAAACAAATGAACAAAAATTGCAATACTAAAACACAAACATAAACAATTAATCGCTAACTAACTAAAGTGATTAATCACATATATATATATATATGCTCTAAACTAACGTTCTAATAAAACACAACACAACAGCACTGATCAAAGTTAAATTAACGTTCTGATTCACTAATCAAGGCTCTAAGGTTCCGCTCATTGGTGATGTACTAGGCATTCTATTTGAACTTAAGAGTTAGTTGAGATCAGACTCGCGAAGATAAGAGATTAAAGAAAATAAATCATAAAAAGAGATTAAAATGCGATCTAGAGAAAGAAAAAAAAAATAATAATAAAAAAAGGTAGTGCATAAGAACGAACTTTCTCTTCACGTTTGCTTTCGCGGGTTTCGGTAGTGCGATCAACAACGAGAAGAAGATCTCTGGTATGGCGCACTACATCAGCAGGAGTGCGAGGCTTGGACTTGAAGAGACCCTTCATCTTCTCTTTCTCTGAAATCCCAGACACACTGGTTAGGGTTTGTGATTCGTGGGAGTGGGAGGAAGGGGGCAAAATAAGAACAAGATCAATCCCGATATTTTAATTATTTTTGTTATTTCCAAATATAATGTTATTATTATTTATTTATTATGTGTGAGATTTTGTTGGAAAATTATGGAGGAGAAGATAAAATCCACACTGAGCATGGATACAAAACGATCAGCTACAGGATTAGGATTCGACCTAACACCAGAAAAAACAACCCTTCTTTCATAATTCATCTCAACCATTTTTATTTAACCGCTCCACTCTCACCCAAACTAAATATACTTCCATTTAACAAAACTTGTTACTGTATTATCAAAACTCCTCTGCTTTAAAAGAAAACCAAATCTCTCACCTAATATTTTTGTTTTTTTAACCACCCAAAATAACCCATCAATCGCTGTTATTCACTATTTATTTTAAATCATAAATAATTATTTTCTCAGAAAAAAGTTTAGATATTTTAAATCTCAATTTCTATGACTTAACAATAATTATTATAAAAATTAATCATTATGATAAGATAATATCATTAAACTCCGTAATATTTTAACTTTGCAAATTATAATGTATAAGATAAATATTTTAATATGCAACTTATATTTTATATTTATGAAAAAATAATTTATATTATGATATAAAAATATTTTAACCATTGGTAATTTTTAAAAAAATATATTGAAAATTAATTTTGAAATAAAAATTAAAAGGGATAAAAAAAAATTTAAAAATCCTTAAAAGTACTTTCATAGAATACATTTTTTAAAAAAACGTTTTCATCAAAATATGTTATAATATAAAAATTTGTAATAAAAGTTGTTTTCGAATATATAAGTTATATTTTAAATTTCTAATAAATCATTTAAAATGCAATATAATATTACTTTAATTAATAATAATGTCATTTAGTAAATTATTTACAAAATTTTAAAAATAAGAAGATTAATATAACGATTAAAATAAAATAAAAATGCCAATTCAAGATGATTAGTAAAGAAATTAGTCAACCACTAATATAGTGTGTAAGTGTAACGACCCACCATAATTCTTACATTAAATAATATAGTTACTAGTAGTTGAGAAATAATTAACTTAGGATTATAGATCTACAAATACGAGAAATATGTATTATATTGCATGCACATAAAGATAAACAACTACATAAAAATGTATAATGTAAATACAATAATCTTATAAATGTAAATTTTACAACCTAAGATGTTGGTCAAATAACTCTACAACTATCTATACAAATCTACTACCAATAAGTAGTCAACAAAACATCCTCCAATGCAACACTCTCGACCTATCCCTGCATTGTTGTCATACCACGTGTAATCATGATAGTCCAAATCAGATAGAAACACACAAGGGTAAGACAGAGTAAAAAAAACATCATATATACAACACAAGAGTATCAACACTTTAACACATTATCACCTCATCATCTCATTTCCAACATTGACAACACAAAACATCATAGTATAGACAACTCCTATTAGCATAAACAACTCAGTTTCAACACATTCGCACATCTCATCATAAATGAGCACAACATATGAACAACATAATCAACTCAACACATCATATGTTCAACATAATAACTATATGCATTGTCATACATCTTAGCTAGAAGATCTACTAAACAGAGTGAGCAACTTAAGTGGCTTAACCCTATTAAGCTACAACAAATTGATATAAATCCACAACACAACAACTTGATTTCTTGTATGTCACCACTTAAATAAGGAAGTCTAGTACTACTATCGAGATAAAACAATTGTATATGAGTCTGTCACGACATTAGCTAGCTTAAGCAAGTCTCGGATGGAATTAGCCCACCGATTATCCTTTAAATACTACACCTTTTTGATACTTAAATAAGAAATAAGTTTCTAACTTCGTACTTTACTCAATTGGTCACTTGTAATCAGTATAGCTCTATGGTCGCTTCAAACACATGTGCAACATTGCCCACACATGGTACCCAACAAAGTCATAAAGGAGAAACAACAGAACTATCCACTTCACGGGTTAACTTTTCAAGAAGGATTTTCAATAAATTAGACTCTCAGAGTACCACAACACAATATATACACAATGAGATATATAACTTTCAAAAACCTCTCATATAGTCCTAAGTGTTAACACAACTTAGCAACACAACAATTTTTACATATTCAACATGATAACAAAATTAACATACAACTCTACATCTCATAACTCAATTATCACTACTCATATTCAACCTTTTAGTCATCACACATCTCAATAACAAAATAACATCATGCATATAGAATTTCCAAAATAGCTACGCAATTACACAATCCACTACTCTTCTCAACTTTCAACTAACTCAATCAACAATATGCAACAATTTATCAAATCAAACAAAACATACAACTTCATTTCTACAACTCATTCATCATCTATTCATTCAACAACTAATTCAACAAATATTCAACACTTCATCAACTATATCAACATGTTTTTCCTTCAGTAACCAGTGTCTAATGTTGCACACCCTATGTCAGACACCATCCAAGTTGGGAGCTTTCTACCTCGCCTACGCCCAACACTACACAATTTGTGCTTAGGGTGACTAAGGCAAAGGTCCCAAAGACCTCACACATAACATGGTAAACTATCATGTTTGGTAACTCGCACCCAGTGTTATTCTGTCGTTGCTCGATGAAACTCAAACAGAGAGCTATGACTTGGTCATGTCGGGTGTCATTCAACTTTGGGTTCGATGTTACCAAGTTAGAGTGCTCTTGAGGTTCTCATACTCAACGCCATACCAACCCAAGAAGAGTCTTTTTTCTCACGTCTAATGCCATTGATCTTGTGCCTGACATGATCGAGACAAAGAGCCTCAAGTTAGAACAACGTCCAATGCCACGAAGGCGTACCTAGTGCGACAACAACATTTTGTATATACAGAACTTGATATGGAGCCAAAACCTAAAATTATTAAAAGATTTATTTATTTTAAATTATGTGTTTAATAATTATGAGTATTTTAATTAAATAATAAATATTTGCAAAAATTATTTTGTATAGTATTCATCAAAGAAATACTCATAATTATTAAAACTCTCTATAATATTTTATAAAACTCATTTAATTAATTAAAATATTATTTTAATAATTTTTTTTAAAAAAAATTGAGGTGTTATACAAACAAGTTCCTATTATGATTGTGCATTATTGCTTAAATAGATAAATGCATACATACTAAATGCGAGCCTTTAAAGCATCATAAAAATAAAGTGATTAAATCATTAAAATCAATTACATTAAAAGCATTTCAATCACATAAAAATAAAAATAAAAATCATAATTTAATTCAATGAAAACAAAACATAATGAATTTGATTTTCTTGCCTAAAGATACATGAGTTTAAAAAGCCACTAAAATAATAGTGATTCACAAGTGTGAAAGACTTTCAATCAAAAATAAATTTTTAATGTGAACAAAGTTTCGCGACAAATAATTGGATAAAATAATTTCAACAATCACATTAAAAAATGTGTAGTAAAAATTAAAATCCCTAAAATTTCATAATTAGGGTTCATACATAATTGGAGGAAAACATCATTCATAAAGAAATACATAATTTCATAATACATGCTCTAATATCACATAAATTTTAATTTTCTAAGACTATCAATTATAAAGAGCTCAATGAATTTTTAAAATTCATGATTATCAAATAACAAAAAAAATAGTGCATAACTTTTTCCATAGTAAAAACTTCTTTGAACCTTAAAGCATTTTGATCTACTTTAGAGAAGAGAGAAATCTAAGATTTTACTCCCTTTGACTCTTCATTCTACTCTTCCTATCTTCTATGATGACTAGTGTTCAAGAGAATACTTTTTTAATAGAAAAATGACTTTGTTTCACTTTAATAGATATTTATAATCTCTTAAAATTATTATTCTCATCAAATAACAATTATTCTTAAAAAATATTTCATTAAATTTATTTACAATTTAATCCTTATTAATTATTTAATTATTTATTTATTAATTCCTTTATATATCACATATTTCACACATGAAACACGATTATCTTACCATATATATTCAATAGGATCTCCAAACATATTCCTATCATTTCATTCAAATCATTACCGAGATTAAGAAGATTAGAATCTTGTGAAATTAGTGTATGCACCTTATATCATTTTTCTCCATCATATAATAGGCTAATTTAATGTTTCATTTTTCGCGCGATCATGTTAATTGATTGGAAAGATTTGTCGTGAAATGTGTTACTAAGAACTGTCAAATTTTGTGTCATTATATATTGTTCATGAGGCAATTCAAGATGCTAATATTCTGAATGTAAATTGTAAATTCGAAATATTATTGTAATTATATATCAAGAGAAACATCTTAAATTAAATTTATACTATTTATCATTATTAATAATGTTTCTTTTATTGTTACTTAAATTATGTAGATGATGATTGTTCCGGCCAAGGGGTGGACTAGGGTTTTTTCCTAGGTCAGACCTCAAAGCCAGAGCATTCAAAAATGTAATCTGCCGTGTTATATGTTTTATACTTTTCTGTTCATGGGCCTCCTGGGCCTTGTGAGCGCGAGGATTTCCATAACGGTTTTCCTTGGGAATATTTGATTATCAAAGATAGGCTTTTCATCCTTGATTCTCGGACCAGTCAAAGGGGTGAGACCCACTCGGACTTTGGCCGACCACACCCTGGCCGAGCTCTCCTAAGCCGAGCATACCCTGGCCGATCTCACCATGACCGAGCACACCCTGACCGCTCTCACCATGGCCGAGTACACCCTGACCGATCTCACCATGGCCAAACACACCCTGGCCGATCTCACCATGGCCGAGTCCACCCTGACCGATCTCACCATGGCCGAGTACACCCTGGCCGAGCTCGTCGAGGGGGTGGGTGAGATCGCGGGCCGACCGAGAAGACCCATATTCAAGAATCATCGATCAAAACCTGTAAAGGATATCAGATCGGGTTCCGACCGAGACGGTACAATGATCATCTCTCTTAGATAGAGCTTTTAATTTAGCAAATATTGGGTTTTTATGATTTCACTTATAAGATGAAATTTGATTTGAATGTATTTTGTATATTTCTTTATCATTGAAAATTGAGTGTTTCAGTGTTTTATTTTTCTGTTTTTCATCATGTATTTGTAAATCATTCGTAAATTTTTCACTCATTGAAAAATAATAAGTTAAATTTTATGATAAAAATTAATTATTAACAATTTTTTGTACAAAAATTATTAACAAAACTAATATACTTTACATTAAAATAGTCACAACATTTTACTTATATGAGACAGGATTCTGACTCTACTTATACATATAATCATTATTGTTTCATTAAAAAAAATCATTATTGTTTAAAACATTGTAGTTATTATGTTAGACTATATATTTATACATATTATACGAGTGATACATATTATAGTAGTTTCTATTTTGTAACTTTGTTTCCTATGTGGCTACGTTGTAACTTTTATGTGCTTAAAAAGTTGTTAAATTATCTTAAACAAATATTATTAAACACAGTTTCTAATAGAAAGAAAAGAAAAAAGAAAAAAAATAGATTTATTTTTTTTAATTATAATTAACTCTTATATATTAAAGATGATGGCGTGATTCTCAGAAAATTTCAACCAGTTTTGTTCACCCGTAGGAAACAAAGAGTTATACCGATTTACGTATTCTACGCAACCAAACTAAGCTAAATCTCCTTGTTGTTAATTACAGTACCCTTTAATTTATAATATCACGAATTCTAAACTACATCAGTGAAAAATGTTCCCAACTCCCAAGTCTTTAAATGGGAATGAGCATACACAGTTGAAAATCCAAAACAAAAAGGTGCAAACAAACAAGAGGCGAAAAGATGATACTCTAATAATTAATTCATTTCTCAAAGAACTAGCATCACCAAGATTTTTAAATTATATCCCTCAACTACTGTTGTGACTGTAGAATCACGATTTAGAAAATTCTCACAGTCACATAAACCATATATTCATAACTTATACGTATAAGTCGTTCAATTATGACAAAGGCCCTACAACAACCTATAGAAGAAAAGAGAAATTAATATATTTATTCGAATATCCCACAGAAATGGATATTGATGAAAACCTGGAAAGCATAAATTAAAACAAAATATCCATTATAGAAGAATCCATGATAGAATAGATAACTTCACGAGACAATCCCAGCTTTATATGGAAAAGCGAAAGAAGACATTAGAAACTAATAATGCAGTTGACGAGAGAAAAGGTCACAGCACAAGAGAAGATAACATATAATTATGAATGAAGGGGTACGAAGGAAGTGAGGTTCCTGAAACGGAGCCAGGGCTTCTCGTACACGACGGCCTCGTAATTGGCGGTGGCGGATCCGTCCTTGGCGGCGAGCACCAGCCGGTAGTTGGTGCCGGCGACGACCTGAGTCTCGCCCTTGACCACCTTCACGAGCTTCAGTTTGGCCCCAGAGCGCTTGTCGTACTCTCCCACCGCGTAATTGGCGATCTCCGCCACGTGCGGCTCTTTCAAGTCCTTGATCGGACTCCAGCCGCCGACAACAGCTTCCGGGCGGCGGGCGGCGGCGACCACCAACAGAAGGGACAGGAAAAGAAGGCTGTGATGATATCCCATTCGTAAACCCTCGGTGACGTTAACGGTTGATTTGTGTGGATGCTAGGGTCTTGGGTGGGGTTGATGGTATTTATAGGAGAGAGCGAGAGAGAGAATAAGGGAGGTTTCCTGAATTTTCTGTGTGTGGATATTGCGAGAAAAACACGCCATCGTGTCCCCGCTTTCAAAACGTTAGTCACTGTGTTAAGGAAAACAGCTCATTTTTTTACATCTATTAATAACATAAACGTATTAACCTAAACCAGTTTCGTTTTAGTAATTACTCTTTTTCGTTTTTTTATTTTTTTATTTTTTGAATTTTTTTAATTCTTAAATCTATAGTACACATTTTATAACTTCTAAAATTACTCACTCTTCGGTTTCGCAATAAAAATTACCCGGTATAAATTACTTATTTATATTTTTTTTTCTATGATCATCTTATCTTAAAGCTTCCTCAAAAATAAATATATAAAAGTATAAATTGTCTTTTTTTTTTTCTATTAGTATTAATAGGTTAAATTATTCTTTCTGTCTCTCAATTTATTTAATTATCTAATTTAGTTTCTTTTATATTTAAAATATCTAATTTGATCTTTTAATTTTGTAAAACAATGCAATGTGGTTATTTTTATTAAATTTAAACGACATTAGTTTTTTTTTATACTCGTAACGATACATGTGATTTTTTTATTATGTTACTTGCACAAAAAGGTTAACGTTATTTTTGTGTATACAATTTTTTAGACATATATATTTTTGTTATAATTGAATTTTTTAACTTATGTATCTTCTATGGATAAGAATGAGAAAAGAGTATATATAAAACAAATTAATTGATTCCTCTATAATACTAATTGTCCACCTCATGATAATAATCTCCCACTTATTTATTTTTTGGTTTTATTTCAGTGGAAAATGAAGTTGGAGATGGATATGGAAATTAATTTAATCTATTTAAGACAGATCAAAATCCTCTTTTTTAACACGTATCTCCAAATTCTGTCTTTTCAATCACAAAATGTTATTTCAATTACATTATTATTTTTAATTTTAATTTTGACTTTTAAAAAGTGTAACCGATCATTTTGTTACAATTTTTATTTATTTATTTTGATTCTCCTAACTTTTTTCTGAACTGATTCTCATGTTTTTTTTTTTTTTTTTTTTTATATTTTGATTCTCTTAACTTTTTTTCTTAATTTATTGCATCTATTAGGTTAAGATTATTATTTTGTCAAAATTTAAATATTTTAATTTTTTAAAAAAAATATATCTAAAAATAATTTTCCTATTTATAATATTTATGTAAATCGTATTCCTGAAATTACAAAATAAAAATAAATATTTTCTTGGAAATAAAATATATCTGAAAAAAAATTGTATAACTATTTAACAAAATAATAATTTTGACATGGTAGATACAATAAATTAAGAAAAAAGTTAGAAGAATCAAAATATAAAAAAAAAATGTAAGACAATCAGTTAAGAAAAAAGTTAGGAGAATAAAAAAAATCGTAACAGAATGATCGGTTACACTTTTTAAAAATTAAAATTAAAAATAATGATGTGATTAAGATTGGAGGGACAGAATTTGAAAATAAGAAATTAAAAACAGAGAATTTTAATCTATTTAAGACATATCTCAAAAAGTCTACATTTTTAACGAACAAAATAAGTTTATTTTATGAAATAAATAATTCAAAAAAATATTTGCTCGCATGCGATTCATGTGGATAAATAAGTCGATTCATGAGTCTAATAATTTTTATTTTCAAAAAACCAAAAATTGCCAAATTCAATATTTTTTCCTTTTTTTTAAGCTATTGAAATATGAAAAATAAATTAAAATAATAGTTAAATATATATATATATATATATATATAAAATTATATGTGTCCTTTTTTTTATTGTTTCACGTGTAAAAGAAGTTGAAGTGGTTAGTCTTAGTTAGAAAAAAAAACTATATTGTATCGTTTTTAAAAAATTAAAGAATTAAATTAAATATTTTAATAATAAAAATACTAAATCGAATAAATTAAATAAAATGGTAGATTAGAGCAGTAAGTTAGCATGTTAATATTTCATACTTATTTTAAAAGTCAATATAATTAATAAATAATCAATTTGGAGACTTCATGTCAAACCGCTTAAATATTTTTCCTTAAAATGATAAATACATTCAATAATTTCAATTTTCTTCTACAACCAAGTTTATCATTTTTTTTTTCAAACAAAAAATTGTTATTTTTTAAAACTCGCAGATCTCTCGATCCTTGGTACTATTACGTGAGGGATGCTGAAATGATTTGATTATTTTTTAAATTATCTATTCTTATATCGAATTAAGTTTATTTTCTAGAACAATGTAACTTTATTGTTTTTTTAAAAGAATAAATATATTATAATATGTCATTAGAGTGACTAGACGAATGGAAAATAATGCTAAAAAGTTATATGATGGTAGGCCATGCACAGTTAGGTTTTTAAATAAAAAATTGCAACGAATTAAACTAGACTATTGTATAAAAACGGCTCAATATAATTAATTGAATATGCTATTATAAACTAGATCCATTTAAATCATCACGGTTGGTTTAGTGTTTGGAACAAGAGTAAGAGGATCTAAGTTTCATCTTCTTCATATCTTTATATAAAAGAGACTTGTATACTTGATTGTGTAGCTTCCTACATACTACAAAAATAACATAACAATGTAACATAGTTTAATTATATTGTATAGTTTTTGCTAGATGATTTATGATATCTCACTTACATAGATTTATACTATCGCGTGAAACAGCCGCGTTAAATCTTGGGGCCAGCTATCCCACCCTTTGAGGTGCCTCCAACGTAGCGAGGAGATTAGTCACTGCTGTCGGCGGTAGATACTCCAGGAACGAACCAAAAAAATACTATCGCGTGAAACAAAGCATGAAATACATGGACTCAAACAAATAGTTCAACTACACAAATGTATCCTCAATTCCTCTAGTGTTAGTTTGTAGTACTAGACTTATACAACATCCTCCATCAATAATTTTTCATAAATTATCACTTTAGAACATTCATCACAATCATTCAAGAGTAGCCTAAACAAGTAACATCACAACATATCACGTCAATTCACATATTTTTATTCATTAATTCCTTTTATTAATAAACGGTCACAAATCTTTCTCATGATTTAATAGTCCATAAAACAATTAAAAGAATAGGCATGACATTCGATGAGGTTTAATCCACACCTGACGTAGAAAGAATAGAATTTCTCTACCAACCTCACATCTTCATGTCCGATGTGAATTTTTCACAACATTATTTATTAATTATTTATTTTAATTAATTCTTAATCTTAGATTTTTTTCTTGACTCTTCAATTATTCTTTAAAACGTACAAAATAATTATTTAAAACATGTAAAATAATTATTTAAATAATTATTTTTTCTTCAAATTTTCGTACAAACACATCAATTATTTCAATTCATCTTTACTACATTCTCAAATTATCAGATTTAAATTCCAAACCCTCAAAATTCATACATATTAATCTTAACCCTTAGAATACATAAACTTAATATCAATTTAATCAAACAATTAATTCATATCCCATAAACATCGTCATACTATTGATTCATCAATGATCATCTTTTTCAACTCTAGATTCTCAAATCATTCAAACCATACAAATTCATCTTTCAATTAGATAGAATATAATATTATATCACATTCATGATCATAATATCAACAAGACTATAAAGACATTCACACATATACCACAACACAAACATACAACCTAAGGGGCTTACGGATTATCCCTCTACTCTTATCTCTCATATATACATAACACTTGATAATTTCCCTCCCTCTACCTAGAGTGACGAGTCTCTAGAAGTGATGTTTTTCTGGTAGCTTCTGTCATCAACATGTGATTTACCCGGTAACCTTATTTGTCTTTCCTCGTGTGAGCTCTTAGAATTTCAGAATATGCACAATTGACTTAACCCTTTCTAACCTCTTCTATTTGGATTAGCCTCTGGATTGAGCCTAGAGTTTAGCCAAATAATTTTAATGAATTCTCTCCTTAATATTTTATTAATAATAATTGTTTCTCTTTTTTATTTCTAATTATTCCAATTAATTATTTATTTATTAAAAGAAGGATGTTACAAGTTCCTTGTTTTTTTCCTCATTGTTGCTTATATCCATTTGTTATGGCAACACAAAAATAATTCATTTTTGTGGGTGAAGTTCTTTAGCCTCGTAGTATAGCTCGTGAGGTTTGGCAACGAGCGTGGCAAAGCCACCATACTTCCACCCATGTGCCCGGGCTCCAATTGGATAATATGCATAGTGGAACTCTTAGAACCAGGGAAGTTTTTTTTGGTAGCCATCTTCACGACTTCACCATGTGTAGTTCGTTTTTCTTGGATTTTGCACTCCTTTGCATACAAATAGGGATATTGCAGTTTTTTTTTATATGTATTATTTTTTTTTAATTTAAAAAGGTTGGATTTCAACTCTCATAAAAATATTTTTGTGAAAAAATTAGATAAAAATGATTCCAAGAAACTATATTACTGAATTTTTTAAAAGATTTCTATAAAAATAAAAACATTTCGCTTATCAAATACCTTCTCAATAAAAAAATAATAATTTGATTAGAAAGAGTAAAATATTGTATTATACAAGGTTTTTTTTTTTTTTTTTTTTTTTCAC